TGCAGAAATTGGATGAGTCTTAGAAAATGCTTGTGGACTATCATAAACTTAATCATTGAGTGACTCTAAATGAAGTTGTCAGCCCACAGGTAATATCTTTTTCAAATCATACAGCCCTGGCATTTGTTACACAGCTTTTGACTTGGCTAATACTTTTCTTCCATGCCAATTTAAAGGGACCACCGTGTTCTTATCTAACAGGGCCAACAGTGTATCTTCAGCCTTATCTGAGGGGCAGGTTGTTCTCCTGTTCTAGTGATCTTAATAATCCTAACATTCCATGAATCATCACACTGATTTACTATGTTGATTGTATCTGTTGAGCAGAATATAGCAAATATTTTTGATATCTTAGTGAAGCACATGAAGACTAGAGGATGGTAAATCATCCCCACAAAATTTCAGAGGCATACCATTTCATTAACATTTCTGGGTATTCAGTGTTCCTTTATGGATTGACAGACCTTTATGGATTTTGGAGACAGGATGTACCACATTTGAATATATTCCTTCAACCTATGTTCAGTGTAACTCAAGGGCTGTCAGTTTTGAATGATTACCAGAGCAAAAGAAAGGATGTGCAGCAAGTCTAAGACACAAGTGTGAGCTATACATCACTTCAGCTTTTGACTCTAACAAATCCTTTAACTCTCTTAGTGTCTCTAGAGAATAGGTACTCTCTGTAGAGTCTCTGGACAGTACCAATACCAAAATCACAAGAAAGATCTCTAGGATTTTGAAATAAATATATTCCATCTTCAGATAACACTGGACTCTGATAAAACAGCTCCTATTGCCACTTGGTAGATACTAAATGCATAACCATGGGTTTCCATATAGACAAAGCTTCCTACCACTGAATGGATATTGTCTGACTGATCTAGCTGTAGCTTATTCATGCATGGTGACAATCTGTCATCAGGTAGAAATGGACTATGAGAAAGAAGCCTGGAAAAATATGGAAAATATATGTCAGTTACCTGACCAAGTGGACCCAATTCCTTCAATACCACCTCCTGTTACATTGCCTTTTGTTAGTCAGCTTTCCATTACTATAACAAATAACTGAGATAATCAGTTTACAAAGAGAGAAGGTTCATTTTGGTTCACAGTTTTGGAGACTTCAGTCCATGATTGGTTGGTCCCATTGCATTTCGGTCTAGGGAAGGCAGCATATCATGGGACCAACATGGGACAAAAGCATTCATTTCATGGCCAGGATGTGATAGGAAGAGGAAGGGGCTGGATCCCAATATTCACTTCAAGGGCTTACCCTCATTGTCTAGAAGACCTTCTACTAGGTCCCACCTGTTAAAGATTCCATCTCCTCTAAATAGAGACACTGTTGGACACCAAGCTTTTAACATATGGAACTTTAGAGGATGCTTATCCAAACTTTAGCTCCTTGTATCCTTCAACTCATGGCTTATGGCTCCTTGAGGATTTTCTTAGTTCTACTGATAGGCTAAGAAAAAAGTCTCAAGACTGATTTACAGGTGAGGCTGCACAAAACACCAACACTACCCAAGAGTGGACAGCTTCAGAACAATAGCCTACCCATGAATAACTGTGAAGGACAGGAGAAAGGAAATTCTTCCAATAGGCAGAAATTTGAACAATAGGTATGTTTGTCTTTGGTTTCTGGAAGAAGGGATAACTAGAAGTACAGATCTATATTGGTTGATGGGAAGTTGCTAATCATTTGTATGGCCAGGGATCTGAAAGGACAGGACTGGGAGATTGGTGACAAAAAAGTTGAGGATACATAGGTGGATCTTTCAAAATGGACAGAGCCTGAAAAACAGTCATGTCCCACCTAAATGCCCACCAAAGCATTCTTTCCTGCAGAGAGGGCTTTTTATAATCAAGTGGTCAAAATGACATACTCTGTGGATGTTAGAATTCCTCCCTAACCACCTGAGTGCTTGTTAAGTGGACCTATGAACAGTTGCCTTGGTAGAAGGAATGAAGGCTATGTAAGGCTTGGCTCAGTAACGTTTGATGACTTCTTTCTAAAGTGACATGACCAGCACTACTAATGGGTGCCTAATCTGCAGAGACCAACATTGAGGCCCCAGGTGGACCTGAAAAGCTGCATAATTGAGAGGGTAGATTATGCTGCTTATCAATTTATTGTTTCTCTGATCTAATTATTAGCCTGTTCTGCAGTAATGGATGTGGGCCTTGTAAGTATTTCTCCTATGCTAACTGGCACAATATTAAATCCCATTAACAAAGGATTTACCAAGATTTAACACTGGAGGGACCCTGAGGGTGAAAGGGGTTTCTCTTCCTAGTCTCAGAGCTGCTCACTGGCCACTGCTCAGTTCTTCACATGATTTTCTCCAGTGCTACTTATCTATAAGGCACAGTTTTCTTTAGAGTTGGCACCCCTACCCTCTGTACTTTCCCTAGAGCTTGACTTTGGCAGTTGTGATGTGTCCTGAATCCACTGACACTCTGGATCTGCTCTGCTGCCCAGGTCATATTTCTTCAAATTCTCTCTCAAGACCCTCATGTGCACACTAGGAGTCCTACAAGATTGGGTGTCTAGAGAGCTGGCTGCTTAAACTTCCAGGTGGTGCCCAGCCTAGAGCCATCTTGAAAAGTGCACTGGCCTCCTATGGAAGACAGCCCCTCTGACTCCAACAACCAGCAGTTTTTCTCAGCACTGTATCTAGCTAGTTCCAGAATTCAGTACTTTGGGAATAGTCTCTTCTGGGACTCCTGAGGGCAAATTTCCACAAGTTCCACCAGGCAAATTCCCTACCTGTGTTCATCTCATCACTTTATCCATCCATCTCTCATTTCTTTTTTCTCTTCCCAAGTCCTATTGTTTGGTTCTGTTTCCTAGACACTCTTGAATCATTCTTTTCCATCCATCTGGTACCCCTTATCTCTTCAATATCATATTCACTGGGGATGGAAACTTGTGATTTATTTGTATAATCTCAAGTTTATGGTTCTGCTTTAAAAATCATTCAGTTTTTTTCATTCCATCCATATAGGGAAGAATTGATAAATTTTCAAGTCACTGGAAGATGTGCTCCACTTCTAGTGAACTGGCCTTTAACTGACCTCCCAGCCTGCTCTCCTGCCACTCCCTACCTGTACCTTCCATCTCTGCTGTACTAAGGGATGACCACGTCTTTTCTTGCTTCTGTGCTTTAGGATCCACCATTTCTTCTTGCTTTTCTCTCTTCTCCATCCGCCTAAAATTTACTTACTTTCAAGATTCTGCTGAACATTATCATCCCTGGGAAATTCTCTTAACATTTCTCCTTCCCTCCATGTTGTCTTGGTAGTCTCCTGTCCCAGCATGTATGATGCTGCTTCATTGCCTGACTTGCCAGATTTCATCCTAGTCCCTGTTTCTTAAAGGGAAGGGCCACCTTTAATTTTGTAGCCACAGCCCTGAACAACATTTGACAAATAAATTGTCCAACTATAATTTTATGATTCTGTGACTCCTTATATGAATTTTTCAAGCAGAGGAAAAAATGTAAGAGGTCATTTCATTCTTTATATGAAGTTCTTATAACAATGAAAGCTCAGAAATATTGGAATTTTGCTTTTATGTGGAATACGTATCATAACTGAGGTATTTTTAGGAGCCGTATTGTCTGTTCCATACTGAAAAAAATATAGAACATTCCAATCAGAACTAATATAAGAAGTAAGTTCTGCCTGTTTTATTTATTCAGCTTAAATTATTCTATAAAAGGCCAGAGAATTCATCTTAGAACTTGCTTTTCTTATTTTAAATTTAGTTATAACTTTGAAGGAGAAGCTAAACAAAGTGATAAAGTTAGTTCTTACTGCTACAAATAATCTTTCCTTTACGTTTAGGCTTTAGGGTCAACAAGCACTTTGCAGGCCTCTTTCCCTGTATTTTACTTGATTGGCTATAATGGTGCATAGTCTGCAATCCCATACCGAAACCCTTTCACCACCCATCATTTTAAGCATCACAAGGAAAATGGGCCCTCACTCTGATTCGGCCTGTCCTCAGCATCCTATGTTGCTTTTCCTTTCGCTCGTGGTGTTCATGCTGGGTTTATATACCTGTTGCTCTGTTCTTAAGGTCAATGGCAGGCAGAAATTTATTATTTCATCAAACCAAATTCTGGTTTTTGAACCCTAGAGACACTTAAAGAGAAGCAAATGTATTTGCTTTTCACTATTAGATTTTGTATTTGTATGAGCTTGAGCTATTGAAGTTATGTGTTACATAACAACGAACTGAATGCTCTTGATTTTCTTTATGGGTTCTGTCAGGATTCCCAAGTGCTATCAGGTGAGGAAATTTGGCAGAATGCATGCTTACTTATTTGTGAAGCTGCTTTATTATTTTACTTGGTTTAGTTGGAGAAGTGGTTCACAGGTTAAGGGAAAATTGCATAAATAACACCATGCACAGGTGGATGCTTGGTTGGGCCTGTCAGTATATCCTTGCTTTCCTGTGGATCTCCTTCAACAACTTCTTATGATCCACTTAACAAAGTACTTTAACTCCGTGGTTATCAAGCTAAGACATTCCCTTTTTCTAACTCAAAATACGCTTGTAAAATAATTTTATGTATATCATATGGTAGATGTTACCAGAGTTAATACAAATGTGGCAGCTGTTGGGGAGGTTGTTTATTTTGGGGGGATTTTTTGAGACAGGGTTTCACTTTGTAGTTCAGACTGGCTTGGAAATCACTTAGCAGCCCAGGCTGGACTTGAACTCCCAGTGATCCTCCTGCTACAACCTCTCAAGTGCCTCCATGGCCAACAAAATATGTATTTTTTATTGGAGAGAAAGCCTTAATATTTTGTAACCTTAATAGACTATAGTTAATTACACAATTGTTTTTTCTAAAGTGAAATTTTCTCGAGGGCAAAAAATCTTTGTATTCTTATTAACCATAAGAGTACATTGTTGGTTGAATGAATAAATTATATGATGCCTTTGTGAATAGCTAGCTACTAATAACAGCTGTTATTTCTATTTGTAGGTATAACTGTTTAAAGGAACTTTCTTACCAACAAGTCTATGATAAAAAAATACAAGTAACAGAGGAAATCTTAACTGTTATTTGTCAAGAAACAAGGATTGATGTCAGAATGGCTCACCTAAAGCGACTAGTAAAGTTACATATCAAAAGACATTGCCACAGAATGTTCTGGAAGCTTGGTGCAGTAATTTTTTTCTTTATAATAATTTTGATTTTAATGCAAAGAGAAGTAAGTGATCAATATTCCAAAGAGGAATCAAGGATGGAAAGAAACCTGAAAAACAAAAACAAGGTGTTTGATTTAATGCTAGAAGCTGTAAATAATATTAAAGATGCAATGCCAAAAATGCAAATAGGAGCACCTGTCAGGCAAAACATTGATGCTCGCGAGAGACCCTGTCTTCAGGGATATTATACAGTGGCAGAGCTGAAACCTGTTCTTGACCGCCCACCTCAGGATTCTAATGCACCTGGTGCTTCTGGCAAAGCCTTCAAGACAACCAATTTAAGTATTGAAGAGCAAAAGGAAAAAGAACACGGGGAGGCAAAACACTGTTTTAATGCTTTTGCAAGTGACAGGATTTCATTACACCGAGACCTTGGACCCGACACCCGACCTCCTGAGTACGTTGAAGAATACTCATTCTTTATTGCTTGTCACCAGAGATTTCAGTGGACAGGCATTAGTTAAGAAATTTGCTTGTTCTTTAGCTACTGTGAGGCAGACAATCAGCACATATTGTTTATTCCATCTGTTGTATTTATTTTTGCTTGTAATTATCAAGGCTAGATACCTTGGCTGGTGAGGTAGGGCAGACAGGAGAAGTTATTAGCTTGGAAATTAGAAAACTGAGTTCTAGATTTGACATTTAGGTACAAGAAAACCTTTTATTCTTAATTGTTGTAATTTCTTCATTTATTTAGGAAGAAAGACAGGTTTTGTGGAAAATGTCACAGATGGAGGAGTTGTTTTCATTTCTCTTTGTATTGCTATAGAATGGAAATGTTAAAAAATGTGCCAAGATTTTGGAGGTATTATATAACATTTTATGGATTTATAAAATAACCCAAAGACTCTGTGGCTCTTTGCAGTACCTAATTATGTCTCAAAATGCCTTATATTTTATAAGCTTTCCTTTAAGGCAGAATGGTGTTACAATTATTATTTCCACTATGATTCTGTCTTTGAAGATTTGTTGATAAAGTTATATCTATAGCATTGTCTTCCTTTAGCTACAGAGAAGTCAACATTTGTCATTATCGAGTCACTTGGTATGTGTTTGTCTTTGCTGTACTGTGTTTTGATTAATATTTCCCTCCAGGTTCTACTATTGTTTCTCTATATCCTTAGTTAACCATTTTGTTATCTACAAGGTAATGTTCAAATGCTGTATGTAAATTGCAAAGGCTAAAATGAATTCCAGCACCCTCAAGCCATCAGTGGTTTTTTGTGAGCACAAGATAGGAAAACAGTAAGCAAACAATGCTGTGTATTTTGCTTTTGGGTTATGACAGATTACACTTGGCAGCCATACTGAAGATAAGAGTTTTGATAGAATGGTGTATTGTTTCAGATTTGTGTAGATTTATGGTTATGAATATTTGCTCCACTATTTGAATCCCTCAGTGTTAAAGTTGTGTAGGTTAGATTTCTGTCACTGCATTTTAATCCATTTAATCTAAAGTCAAGTTGCTCAGAATCAATGTGTAAAAAAATTCAATGAATATCTACAAAATATTCTGGCTCTTGTAACAGATCATGGTGTAGTGCCTTTCTTGTATTAATAGATTCAAATACAGTAGTGCATTTTATTGATTTTGGTAAGGGTCTTGATTGAAAGCAGTCCACATAAAAAATCAATTAGTAGGATTTGAATTCTTTGAAATGATATTAGCTGAAGCTGAGGTTTTTATGATAACATTAAGAAACTACAATAATGTTCAAAACTGTTAATTTTTTAGTAGTGAAAAATAACTAAGCATATTTAACAACATTATTATAGTCAGGGATTTACTTATTTCTGACTTTAGATAGGGGTTTGTAGAGGTGGTGAAGAATTAATTGTTTTGTACTTTGAATGTTACCTGTGTCAACAAGGAGCACATTTCCTGAAGAACTGCTAGTTGTTTTACAAGCTCATTAGTCATTTAGATCTAGTTTCTCTTAAAGTCAAATGGTCCTGTGATTGATAATTTAAGCAAGTCTCTATATGCCACATTTTTGAATGGTTTGACTGAAAAATACATAATATTTGGCAAGATATATTAATTGGACTATTTTAAGTGATATGTGAAATGATTTTAAAAGCATAAAAATATCATGCTAATTATTTCAAAGTAAATTAAATCATACCAGGAAATACTTTCACTTTCATTAATGATAAAAGTGATATTTCATTGTGGCACCTCCCACTGTGTCATTTTTAATTACTGATTAATATCAGTAGATGTCAGTTAAGTAAATAAATACTGCCTTAAACAGGGACAACTGTTCAAGATTAAAGTGACAGCATTTTAGTAGTGTGCGTTTTTATGCAGCTTTATATTTTGCATCTTCAATTTTTTTAGAATTATTGATTAATATTATATTAACTACATGGCAAAGATAGGAAAAAATTTTTAATCCTAAAATTCTATTTACTCCCTAAAATGCCTTTAAGAAAATAAGTCATGAGGTAGTTCTTTTTCCTTTAAAAAACCATGTTATATTATGGAGTTTTTCAGAATTTGTATTCATAGTTCGTGTTGGTTTATAAACATTTAGGTGTTAAAATATGAACTTATATTTAGTAATTCTGTGTAATTAATGTTCAGGTGTATATATAGTTTGTATTTGAACTTCACTTTTAATTGGTAGTTTATCTAACATTAAATTTAGAATAATTTACTTTTATTCCAAAGGATGAGGGAAATTATGATAACTTACCTTTTTTTTTTGTACTGGGGATCGAACTTGGGTCCTTGCACTTGCAGGGCAGGTGCCAAAACCACTGAGCTAAATCCCCGGCCATGATAACTGACTTCTGACTGTGCATTAGTATTGCACTTTTAAATCATGAAGTGATCACTTCCACTCCCATCTATGCTCTCACTTTCTCCTTTTCCTTCTAAGTTTTGTTGATATTCTCTTTCCATTTTACCCCCAATCTAATTCCCTTTCTTGTTCACTATAAATATTCCACCCTAAAGACTTGCTCTTGGAAAATGACTCCAAAGATACACACATGTAAATATGGTCAGAAAGTAATTAGTAGGAGAACTTACACTGTCACCCCAGAGGGTACTGCCCCTCCTTCCCGCCTACCCATTGGCCCTAGAAAGTAACTGATGTATGTTGACTCTCATCTCTATGAGGGAATGATTCACTTTCATATCTCTGGGTTTGAGCACCAATATTTGATTCTTCACATACTTTATTTATTGTGTGAGAAGATTTGACCATGTATGAGGATTTTATAGTCTTTTGTTCAAAATCATACAGCAAATGATGGGATTTAAATGATCTTAGAAATACAGTTGCTTTGTTTATCTTTTCCATAGACCATACGTGGTTATTGTACATCCCACTGTTTTGAAACCTTCTTCTGTGTCACTCTTATTATCCTCGCCTCAATTCAGGGGGTGAGCAGCTGTGATCTCCACATTTCTAGTGTCAAAGGCTAGAAACTGTGTAGAGCCACTAACACACTAGTTGGTTATAAAGATTATGTTCTTTGGGCCAGGGATTTAGCTCAGTGGTTCTACCGCCTGTTCCGCAGGCTTAAGGACCGGAGTTCAATCCCTGGTACCAAAAGAAAAAAAAAAAGATTATTTTCTTTGAGGAAGACATTGTTATAAAACTGTATTCAAGTTCAACGAATGACTAGTATTTTTACCTTATGAATAATACCACTAATGAGTCGAGAGTACTTAGAATTTCTCTCTTAATACCTTTCAACCTTGCAGATGGTGATAGAAGCTCAAGACTCTTCATGTGGATTTAGATATTTATTTAAAATTTTTAAATACATCCTGTTAAAAAGACATTTTTAAATGCTAGATATTAACTAAACAGTAGGGCAAAAATGTTTTAGAAACATTTGAAAAATGGTATTAAGAATTTAACTAACTGGCCAGATGAGGTGGTACATGCCTATAATCCCAGCACTGGGCAGGCTGAGAAAGGAGGACTGCCACTGTTCAAGGCCAGCCTGGGCTGCATAGTGAACTCAAGAACTCAAGGACAGCCTGAACTGCAGAGCAAGACCCTCTCTCAAAAAAAAAAAAGAATTTACCTAATGATGAGCATCATAAGAACTTAGGTTTTATGGTAAACTATTTTTTCCTTTGGTACTCTATAGATTAAATAAAATTTATTAAATAAACTTAGAAAATAGTAGATACTTGACATACATTATGTACTTTAAAAAGTATCTCATTTAAAATCTTTATGAAAAATAAAGTTGCACAGTTTAGGTTGCAAATAAGAAAAATTAGTGACTTTTGCAAGAAAATATCAAAATTTGTTGTTCGAGGAGGTAATCAGATTTTTTATTTTTACACATTGTCTCCTTTGTAACATTTTATTTAAAATGTTATTTGTTAAAAATTAATACTGTTGAGAAAGTTTACAGTAATATATTGTGATCTATATCACTAGGCATAATCTTTGAATGATCTAGTGAAAATTTGTTTTGATCTATTTACATTTATATAATTTAAGATTGTTTCATATAGAAAGAAACTATTTGCTCATTTTTTGATGATAGATTAATGATAACTTTAGCAATGCTATAGCTATGAAATAAGATAATAAAAGTTATAATCGTTCTTTTACTTTGGCTTCTTCTAGATGTATTGAACAAAAATTTAAGCGGTGTCCTCCTTTGCCTACCACCAGTGTCATAATAGTTTTTCATAATGAAGCGTGGTCCACGCTGCTTAGAACTGTCCACAGTGTGCTCTATTCTTCACCCGCAATACTGCTGAAGGAAATCATTTTGGTGGATGATGCTAGTGTAGATGGTAAGAAAGCACAAATTAGTTTGTTTCCAGGTAAATCCATACGGTGGTGTGCAAAGAACACTTGGCTATATACTGCTCTCTGTATGCCATCTCAGAACTTGAATAGTTTGATTGGTATGTATGATGTATGAAAGTAGAATCTGAGGCTGTCCATATTCAAATATTTTAAAGTGCAGTAATATATAAAGCACCATTATTTATGACTCTGGAGTTCTCAATGTGTGACTTTTATTATAAGCCATTGTGATTAGTAAGAGCACAGATTAAAGCTTGGAGTCAGGCTGCCTTGATTTTTTTGTTTTGTTTTGCTTTGTTTTTTTGGTACTGGGGATCGAACTCAGGACCTTGTGCTTGCAAGGCAGGCGCGGTGCCACTGAGCTAAATCGCCAGTCTAGCTGCCTTGATTTGAATCTCAGCTCTTGCTCTGACCAGTAATTTGGACAAATTACTTAATATCTTTTCTTCAGTTTCCTTATTGATAAAATTGGAATTATACCATATTTCATCAAATTTAAGATGTCATTAGTTTATGAATCAACAAAAAGAAAAAAATAGCCAATTAAGCTAATATGAAATTGATTACAAGAAGTATCCAACTTTGTAACTTAGAATTGAGAACATGAATAGGACATACCTCCTAGGGTTGTTTTGAAAAATCAATGAGTTAATATAAAAATAAATGTCAATCATTAAAATTACTAAAGAATGACTAGAGTTTGCTCTATTTTGGACAAAATTTTTAATTCATATCCACTTAAAATTATAGGTCACACACTAAATTACACATTTTAAATTAAAATTACAAGACTAATCTAATTTGCTAAATTTTCAAAATTACATGTTTTTTAAGTACAGATTATCTCAGTGATTGCAAAGTGTATTCCTAAAGGAACCCATGTTTATAGGTCTTCCAGATGATGTTTTCTCATGTAAAATGGAAATATATGCTTTCATCACATCCAAAGCACCATCTATTGTTTTATATATATATATATATATGTATGTATATATATATATTTTTTTAATCAGTACTAGGGAATGAACCCAGGACCTTTGCACTGAGCTATATTCCCAGCCATTTTTTAAATTTTTGTTTTGAGAGAAGGTTATGCTAAGTCACTGAGTTGCCCAGACTGGGCTCTAACTTGTGATTCTCCTGACTCAGCCTCCCAGAGTGCTGGGATGCGAGGTATGTGCCACAATGCCCTGCTACACCATTACTTTATGTACATGTGAAAAGAAAATGGTGCCTATTAAGTCACATTTTATCAATTGCAAGATATATCCAGATTCCAGACACATTAATAAGTGAATAAAATTTAAATCATTAACCTGGCTTATTTAACCACTTGTACATACAATTCTAAAGGTTTCCATACTTTTACAATTAAATATTTTGAGTAAATTGTGGTTATATTCTCAAGATAAATGAAAGTTTAGACAGAATAAAATTGCTTAATCTCCAAGGTTTTGTTTTTGTTTTGAAGTATTGAGGATTGAACTCAGGGAGGGCTGATCTACACATCCCCAGTCCATTTCCTTTTTTTTTTTTTCCACTGTATTTTGGGACAGAGTCTCATGAATTTCCCCAGGCTAGACTTGAATTGGTGATCTTGTCTCAGCCTCCCAGGTAGCTTGGATTATAAATGTACATTTCTGTATGTATCCAACACCAGAGATTCTTTTTTTTTTAACCTGGTTGTGAAACCTATCCTTCAAATGTTGAAGGTTTGTAATTCAAGTCCCGTGGATTCAAGTTCCATACTGTAAGACCCTGATTCAAATCTCTAATATCCTCATTACCTGACCACTTAATTGTAATCAGCTGGTGCATTTACTGTTTGATCTGTTCTGATTTTTCCTTATTCTGTCTAGTTGAATTGCAGTTCATAGGCTTTATGTGATGTCTGATTAGGTTCTATGCACCTCTGTATATTTCACCTTAAAAACAACACTATGTTAGAAATTTTTTCTTTTCCTTTGGTTTCTTGAACACATTCTCTCAGATGATTTTTATTTTGTTTGATTTTCCAAGTAGTAGTGAGAAAACAGAGGCATGCTAAGTTTACTTCCTGTGAGCCTTCAATTGATGGCATATATTTAATTGTACAACCAAAATCATAGAATTAAAGTAAATCAAAAATTTTAAAAGATACCCATCCCTAATGTTCCTGTTTCAATCATTTCATTCTTTTCATTTTCTTTCTTAAACTCTATCAAAATAAGGATATGTTTATATAACTATCCATGTTAGAGAACTCATTTTAAAACCTGATATTTTTACAAACCATTGTTACTAGCCATTTTATTTTATGTTCAAAACTTTAGTTTTAATGATGATGGACTAGACATATTTTACTTAACCATTCATCTTTTCTTCACCCCATACTGTTACTTTATGTTATACTGAAACAAATACTATCCTCGTCTTCCTGTCTCTTTCTTTTTTTTGCATTATACCTTTAGACAACTTAGGAGAAGTAAAACTGCTTAGTCAATTGATCTAAATATTTTTATAATTCTTTATAGTATCTAACAATAGATTTAGAACAGGTTTCTTAGAGAAAGTTATCTTTGGGTACTATTGTAATTTGTCTTACTGACACAAAGAGCTATCAAATGAGTGCTCGCTATAAAAAATGTGTCCCTCTTTGCTGGAAAGGATCCTATGAAGTAGAAACTAGTCCCTGTTTCCAACTTGCCTGGAGAAAAGCAGCATAAAATATGTAAATAGGTTAGAATAAGATTGTTAAACCCAGTGACAGTAAAAGAAAAGATAATCTTCTAAAGCATTGGCATTGTGATAGGCCCTGTTTTAATAATGCTTTCTTTGTACAGTAATCTCTTCTTTTATCTTCCCAGTAGTGTCTTCTGTAAATCCTGTTATCCTCATTTATGTATAAATAAACTAAGTGACAGAACAGGTAAGATAGTTTGACTGAAGTCACATAGCTAAAAGTAATGGTGCCATCAGAGCTCAGATGTACTTAATCTCCCAAAAGAAGAGTATAGATGGGATTAAATTTCAGGGCCAGATAAGAATTTAGAGGAAGTTCAGAAGTCTTGGATAAATTTTAAAAATTTTTAATGAACTCAAACAATGAGAGGTTTTATTGAAGGGACCTGTGGTAATTCCATTTTAAAAAATCAATCCCCATTAAGACCTTTAAAATTTTATAAGTTTCTTAAAGCAGAAAATATTTATGTTTTTTCTTTATAAATTACAAAACTACAGGTCTTTAAGAGAATTTTTTCAGAGGAATTTAGGTGTCTAAAAGTTAAGACTACTATTCTGAGACAATACTGTTTAGATTTTGTTTTTTCCATAGGGTTGTTCCTGAAATCTCACCTCCCCTATGAATATTTAAGTGTTAAATCAGCAGCTATCTTATCTGCATCCCTGTAGAACTGAAAAAAAATCACAGATGAGATCAGAGTCATCTGCAGTTCTTCTGAAACATGTCAGAAGCCACCATCTTCCCCAGGATGCTGTTTACTGCCTCCACATTTCTAGATCTTTTCTCCAGGATTAGTGCTCTGGCCAAAAAAAGGCCACTTGGAGAACTACATTATTTACTCAACAAGGAATTGAGAATTAATGATGAAAAACAGGCTTAAGATGTTTAAAAATATAAACAGCACTTGATCAATGGATTTTTCTTTTACCTACTGTCTCAACTTTTGCTTATTATGTATCTCATCCAAATTGAAATGTCGAATATCTTAAATTATATACCCATTACTACAATTTTGCCTGTTTTTAACTTCCTGATTTACATGCTCCTTTTTACTTCCACATTTTTACTGGAAAGAAATCTGTCAGGAGACTCCAAAGCTTCCAAAAATTTCCTGCTGACTATAGAGATATTCCCAAATTTCTCTAGTTCTGGACTTTCCTATTGGCCTTTTTCCCAATACTTAAGCTTTAAAGTATTTTGATCACTGCCTACATATGAAAGAATCCCTTTGATACTTGGCATTTTCATTAAGATTTCCAGACTTAAAAACCAATTTAAAAAAATGTCAAATATCTTTTTGGCCAAGTGATATTTCTTTCACTCTCATAGTCAAGCTCAGACCTCTGTATGCATTTCTGTAACTCTCAGGTACTGTAACTTACATCTCTGGTCTCTCTAAACATATTTATTAATATAAAATGTACAGGATATATGTGTGTTACAGTAGTTAAATATGCATATAGAGCCTTTTTTTCCAGTGAAGAATAAAGGTAAACATTTTCATCTTGCTGGAAGAACATGTGAAACTATTAACCTTTTGCATTTGGAAGGATATTTGCTCTGTGATTTCATTTAATATACTGTACATGAAAATAAATTAGAAATAATCATGATTTATTTTTCTTTACAGATTACTTACATGAAAAACTAGAGGAATATATCAAACAATTTTCTATAGTAAAAATAGTCAGACAAAAAGAAAGGAAAGGTCTGATCACTGCCCGGTTGCTAGGAGCAGCAGTAGCAACAGCCGAAACACTCACATTTTTAGATGCTCACTGTAAGTATTTGTGTACAGATATAGTTATAACATTTTCCCTCTCCTCCTCTAATTTAAAAGTTAGTTTTCAGGGCTGGGGATTTAGCTCAGTGGTTCCGCCACCTGCCTTGCCAGCGCAAGGACCCAAGTTTGATCCCCAATACCAAAAAAAAAATTTCCAATATTGGGCTGGGGATTTAGCTCAGTGGTTCTACCGCCTGCCTTGTAAGTCAAGGACCCGAGTACGATCCCTGGTACCAAAAACAAAACAAAAAAAACAAATAAAAGTTAATTTTCTTTACATGCCTAATTGCATGCTTTTGAACAACACTTTTTAGTATTCCAGCAATGACAGTCCAAGCAGACAGTGGCTGTGCAGAAGAACATCCTTTCATTTGTACGGAGCTCTTACCTCCATTATGCTTGAACCTCCTCAGCTTTAATGATCTCCAGTGACCAGATTCCTAGTGAATTCATGAGTAGCATTTTTTTTTGCATTTGTTTACAGATGTTCATCCTGTTTAAGAAGAAAAAAAATTTCTTGTTATCTATGATTCTTTTTTTTTGGTACCGGGAATTGAACCCAGGACCTTGCGCTTTCGAGGCAGGCACAATACCACTGAGCTAAATCCCTGGCCCTGCTATATATGATTCTTACATTTTAAAATGATAATTAATTTGCTTAAGTATAATCGTTATCATTAAACTTTGTCCCAATATCACCACTTTTAACTTTTATATTTCACTTCTTTTTTGAAAGATTTGTGGACTCTTTCTTATGCTAAATTAGGAGTTTCCCTTCCCAATTTCTATCTTTTCTGTGAATATTGTCAATTTTTTTTGTATTGCTGCTTTGGGGATTTTCTTTAATTTGTTTCAGTACCACTGTTTTTGGAGTCAATGTATTATGGACATGTTAGGTATTGATAAATGTCACATAGTCTCTTGAGCTATAAATTTGGTGGGTTTCAGTTTTTTTGTTTTTGTTTTTGTTTTTTTTAAATGAGTGTTTATCCTTGAACTTTCCAGCCCCTTAGTTATGTTTGGCCCAAGAAAGGGTTGTAAGCATGTGCTAGTTACTACAGAAGGGCTTTTAGATTTCTTTGAGTTGTTTAAAGCCATTGCATCTACTATTCTTTCACTACAAGATATTTACAAATGAAAAAAGATTTAGAGATATTTTGCAAAGGAAAACAGCATTCTTTTTCTAATCTAGCGTTAAAATAAGGGTGGACTGAGCATTCTTTACCTCCTTGGGAATGTGTATGATTGTCCTCCTGGACCAGGACTGCTGAAGTTTACTTAGTGGCAAGTCCAGAACAGGACTGAATATGTCTTGTCTCACTTCATTCTGTGTTATGTAGGATACCTCGGCCCATCATCAGAATTCACTTTTCATAGGATTCCTTTGCTCCCACTTTCCATTAGATTGTAGCTTTGAATGGCCTTTTTTCTCCAACTGCTGAAATCAAAATATTGTGAGACTTTGAGTTGGCTTTCTCCTAAGGCCCAGTGAGGGAAATGAAGCTTTCAATTGCTGTACCTTACTTGGGGTTGGGAGAGCAAGTTTAAATAAATCAGGACATCTTTGGGGCTAGGTGAAAAGCTACCTGTTTTAAAGGGAAACGCCAATCATCTGAAGCTTAAACATATCCTTTTTTAGTTTCTTCTCGGAGAAAAAGATCATCATCTATAGGGAAATTTTCCTAGCTATACTCAGTCTTCCTTTTCCCTGTCATCCTACCCTTATCACAAGAAATCTAAGAAATCTTTCCTTTTCCAGATTGGTTATACACTATGGTGCCTATAGTTTATAATGTATTTTATGTGTAAAATTTGCTAAGAGTAGATTTTAAATATTCTCACCAGATCTACTCATATGAGGTGATGAATATGTTAGTTAGTTTGATTTTAGTAATCATTTCACAGTGTATACATACATTAAAACATTATGCTATATACTATAAATATGGGCAGTTTTTGTCTATTATAACTCAGTAAAGTGGGGGAAAAAAATCACTACTATACACATGTTAAACACAAATGAGTTTTAATTCTCATTTCTCTATAAACTTTCAACCAAACAACCAAAGAAAAATGTTCAGTGTTTTCACTGAGTTAATTAAACTCCTGTTTTCTCCAGGTGAGTGTTTCTATGGTTGGTTGGAGCCTTTGCTGGGCAGAATAGCTGAGAACTACACTGCCGTCGTGAGTCCAGACATTGTCTCCATAGATCTGAATACATTTGAATTCAACAAACCTTCTCCTTATGGTAGTAACCATAACCGTGGAAATTTTGACTGGAGCCTTTCATTTGGCTGGGAATCGCTTCCTGATCATGAGAAGCAAAGAAGGAAAGATGAAACCTATCCAATTAAGTAAGATGCTTACTCTCAAGTCTTATATTCATACTATCAGGCCATGAATTGAATATGTTTGGATTTTTAATTTTTACATTAGTTGCCTCTGGGTTAGTTCATACTAACAGCAACAACAAAGGAGAACGCATATTCTAAATATAGAGTATAGTGAAGTAATTTAGGCAGTTATGTATGATATTACTGAATAGGAAGTAAAATAAAATAAGCTTTTATTTCTTCCAAATAAATAATTAAGAGACTTAAAGCATGGTTAGGAGAAAACATTTAATCTGGGGGAGGTCACTGAAAATACTTATTTCCCTCAGAAAGTTGCCTGAAGATAGCAATTTTAGTTCTTATTAATCTACAAAAAAGAGTTAAAATTGTAGTATCTCTTTAACTTTTATTAAAGTTATTCAAATTTTCATGTATACTATTTTAACTTTAGTTTTTATAACAAAGTTTGATGATGGATTATTTTTCAGAACACCTACTTTTGCAGGAGGCCTTTTTTCCATATCAAAAGAATATTTTGAGTATATTGGAAGTTATGATGAAGAAATGGAAATCTGGGGAGGTGAAAATATAGAAATGTCTTTCAGAGTAAGTTTGTGGAAATTAAATATGAGCATATGTTAGACAATGAAATGTATTATCTTCTAATTGGCTGGTACAGATTATTATGAATGTATGGAGTCTCTTAGTGGTTTTTAAAAATTTAATTACTGGAAATTTTAGAATAAGAACATTTCCTTTTAAATTGTGACTTGATATATTTGTACACGGTTGCCAGTGTGACAAGAAAAATCAGCTAAACTCCTATGTCCAGGCAATCACACCAATTAATGCTCTTGTAGCTATTGAATTGCAGCCAAGAGGAATATAATTAAACCTAGTGGTTCAGGATATGAGCTGATTATCAGGGGAGTCGGTATGGAAAGAAACATTTATGTATAATTTTGAAAGGTACTTAACTCTTTGGATAAAATATGCCATTTTCTTACACATATTAAAAGTTAATATGAAAAACAGCACAAAGGCTTTGGATAATCTCAGCATTACCTAATTTGTTTGATTTCATGAGTTTATTTTTTGGTACAATTTCATTATTTACTTTCCATCCCTAAAGATGGAGTGTAGTGAAAAAAGAAATGATCTAGGAGTTAGAAGATTTAAGTAGTATTGGCTCTGGCACCATCACACACTGGCAGGGATGATCTTAGCCAGGTTTGGACTGTTAAGGGCAGGAGTCTTGTTTTATGCATTTAAGTATTTGCAGCCTACGCCACATGTCTGATTTCAAGCATAGTTTGTTCACTTGAAATATTAGTGTGTTTCTTATATGTTTAAAGAATAGTAAAAAAGAAGATGTGGCCATTTGCTCTAATACTAGGAAATACTATTAAACATGACTTCTTTTCAGATCTTTTGCTTAGTGACTATAGCAAAATCAATTATTAACTCATTTAAGTAGAAGGATAATTTCATGATTTGCCATTTTATTTAGAATTAATGCAGATAAGTTTTTGAATACTATCTAAATAGCCATGGATTTTTAATAATAACCAACTATTTTACAGATTTAATGGATTATACTCTGGCAATCACAGCTATCAGGAATTGTTTTCTTGATTACCAAATTGAATATATAAGAGTTAAATAGAGTCTTGTTCTACTAGACCACTATAGTCCGTGACTTAGAAGAGAAATCCTGTAGTTTAAATCAATCGATCATGTAAATTGTATAAAATGGAAGTCAAATGCACAAGAACCTTTGATCTTCTGTGTACATTAGTTAGAAAAATCTGGATAACTTTTTGCAAAAAAATATATATATAAATTTTGAAGGTTTTTCTGTTTTTGTGGTTAGTATTGCTACGGAACCCAGGGGTTTCACACTAACCTTCATCCCCAGCCCTTTTTGTATTTTTTAATTTACAACAGAGTTTTTGCTAAATCCCTAATTTGTCCAGGCTCAAACTTTGGTCGATCTTCCAGAGGACTGGGTTTACACGTGTGTACCACCATTCCTGAGTTTATTTTTGTCCAAAATCAGTGTTAACTTATCTTCTGAAGATGTGCTTTGTTGTCTTTAAGGTTTACATTTTTTAATATAATTGTTCTTTACATTTACAAGGTGGTGTTGAATTGAAAGGGCACAGAGACTATTTATAAAAATTATAATAAGTCTATATACTTTGTTTTTATAAGTATCTTAAAGGTGAATTTTTAAGCAACAGTTTGATTTTCCCAAAATACTGTAAATTTAAACAAATATCATTAATTATCAGGTATGGCAATGTGGTGGGCAGTTGGAGATTATGCCTTGCTCTGTTGTTGGACATGTTTTTCGCAGCAAAAGTCCTCATTCCTTTCCAAAAGGCACTCAAGTGATTGCTCGCAACCAAGTTCGCCTTGCAGAGGTCTGGATGGATGAATACAAGGAAATATTTTATAGGAGAAATACAGAGGCAGCCAAAATTGTTAAGCAAGTAAGTTACAGCTAATTCATTAAATTACAATAAAAATCTATACCAAGTTCACAGGTCCTTTTCCTTGAGAAACCTCAAGCACAAAACATTAAAAACATTTTTTAAGCTAGGCTTTAGAATTTTAACTCGTAAAACATATCTTGTGGTTTTCAGTTTTTTCTGTTAAAATGAAGAGTTAAGCAATTTTTAAAACTTCAGGCATTCTACTTGATGTTATCCTCTATGTATGAAAGATATTTAAGTGACTGCTTTTGTTTTGATATTTACTCAGAAAATAAGATTAAGTAGAACTGCTTTTTTACTGATTTCAGCAGATATGATTAAACACCTAAAAATTGGTTCAAAGTGGCTTTTTAAAAAGGAGATAGAGGGCCGGGGATTTAGCTCAGTGGAAGGACCTGAGTTCAATCCCCGCTACCAAATGAATAAATAAATAAATAGGAGATAAGAGTTGACAGTGTCTTAGCATGCCAAGAGAATGAGCCAGGAGTATCAAGGTTTTTTTTTTAAACTCTAGTTCTATTACTCATGGGAGGTGCTAGCTTGGCAGGGCCCCCTTAAGAATACATAATGGGGATGACACTCAGAGTAGTTACCAGGTGTCTGGATGTGAAGTGTATGATACATGTTTTGTCTTTCTTCTTCCCTGACTTCAGAGGTGAAACACATGTCCTGCCTCTCTGCCAGAGTAGCTGTGAAAGAAGGAAGTGATAAATGCTAGCAAACACTTGGTGCTCTTGTTATTATCTAGTCATAGCTATCTATTCTACTCAACAGAATCTGATGCTTAATACATTAGGACTGAGTTCTTACAGTCTTCATACTGGATATGGTAAATTGACTAGGCAGATTAAGATTATACTTCCATAAATGGAAGCCAACTTTTTATAGAAAATAGTGCTATATTATTGAGTCAGAGGCATCAAACTCTTTAACTGTTGTGGTAAAGAAAGATCTGATTACCTATTGCCACATTTTCTTTGATCCCTTTTGTCTGCCTATATCATGTCAGTAGGAGGCCAACTCAGAGCACTACTGGGTTAGACTGCTCACCCAGGTCACTAATACAAATTGGACAAACTAAGTTCTGCACAAGAGTACTTGTCCAAGCAGGCACGCGAGCATTAAATGAAACATTTGCTCTGTGTGTCGCTCTCAGAGGACAAGTAAGCCATCAAACACCCGTTCTTACCACAGAGCACATAGATCTACCTGGTAGAACTTCTTATACAAGAATCCTTAAAAGTCTACTTATTGTTAAAATACCAGAGTTCAAACATCAAAGTTAGCATACTATTTTCCTTAGCTGAACTGATGAGCTTGAGTATTTACCTTTTTATACATTTATAATTTTGCTCTACAGTTTTGCCCATCAACCAAACATCTTTTCAGATTAATGGTACTTTATTTTAAAAAGAGAGTTTCCTTTACTCTTTAAAAGAAGGGAAAATAAAATGCAATTAACTAAAAATTACCTGTTTCTACTAAGAATTCAGTTAGGGATGTTGTTAAAAGTTAGACTCTTAAACTAGAAAAAAATTATTCCCAACTGTGTTTTGTGTATGTGTGTGTGTGTGTGTGTGTGTGTGTGTGTAGGGGTGTTTTTTTGTGTACTTTACTAACAAGAGATCTAAATTGTATTATATATTGGCATTCTTTACACATACTTTCTCACAAGTCACTTTACAGATCACTTTTAAGTATAAAGTTAGGATCAATTTAGGATGCTCCCACTATCATTCCTGTCTTGACAATATTTCAAGAAAGATCTTTATCTTTTAAAAGAAGTTTGTTGGTACCAATGCAGAACAAAATAGGTAGAATCTTGTCAGTGCTACAAAAGTGTATGATTCTCTCTGAAGCCAGAAAGGAAAAGGCAGCCATTCTTGATGCCTGAACAAATCATGAATGATAATAAAATGCATCTTGCCTTACTGATCCAGAACTTAATTTTTAAATTCCTAAATATTATACAAATAGTAGCCTTTGGAATATTTTATCAGAGCTCTTTTGATTAAGCATTACTTTCACTTCTCATCTTTCTCTAGAAATCATTTGGTGATCTTTCAAAAAGATTTGCAATAAAAAACCGCCTGCAGTGTAAAAATTTTACATGGTATTTGAACACTGTTTATCCAGAAGTGTATGTGCCAGACCTTAATCCTGTTATATCTGGATATGTGAGTATTTTCCTTTTTTGACTTAATATACTCCTTGCCACCACCACTTGCATAGTTCAGGGGAAATTGCTGCAATACTTTCTAGTTTATTGCTTTTGAGATTTTACATTATTATTATTAACAATAACAATCTTCACTGGAATAGCAAATAATCTTCTCTGGAATTCATTGAAAAAATGTAAACTACATAGATTGACTTTTAAAAATAATTTAATTTTCTTTTAGATTAAAAGTGTTGGTCAGCCTCTATGTCTGGATGTTGGAGAAAATAATCAAGGAGGAAAACCATTGATTTTGTACACATGTCATGGACTTGGGGGAAACCAGGTGACCACTACATTAGAAATCTTACCTCTCATTAGCATTACAAACACAAGAAAAATGTTGCAAAGTTTTCAGAAGTTCTAAGTCAAATTTATACTGAAGCTGATGTTTAAAATGCTTTCAGACTGAGCAGAACAATTGGTATTTTGTTTTAGCTTTCACTTTATCCATTCATAGAAAAAAAATGAGAAAATAATAGTATATATCATTTGAAATTTTTAGAAAAGGCATCTTTTATGTAGCTCTTTGGTATTGGTGTAATTATTGGTATGGTGATTATATATATTATATATGTACAATATGCTATTATAAATATATTGTATATTATATATAATATACTGTATTATATATGTATATATAATATGTGTTATATACATAAAGGGCATATTTAACTACATTGAATAGTGAATTACATCCAGTGTTTTGTTTTGTTTTTGGTACCAGGGATCGAACTTGGGACCTTGAGCTTGTGAGGCAGGCTCCAGAACCACTGAGCTAAATCCCCGGCCCATCCAGTGTTAATACTGACATAGCTATGTTCTTTCTGTGGGCCAAGATATTATTTCATTAATTCAGTGTCTCTTGAAAATGTTATGTTCTTAATTTTCTGGTTGGTGAAATCCCTCTCTGCTATCATTCTATTTTACCAAAGCTCAAATGTTAAATGTTGCTATCTGGACAGAGAACATACTAAATAGTAAGTTTTAGGGTTTTGGCTCCTTTTCTTTAACTTTTGCTAGTAAACTCCCCAAAGTATTAGACTGAACTTCTCTTATTTGTCATTCACTGCATTTGTTGAGTGGTCCCTGCATCCCTGATATGCTTATGGGCTCCAGCTCTTTAGATTCTAATTCCTTCAGGAAATCTATATTTCAAATGGAACAGTTAAAATCAGGATGATAACACTCAGAATAAAGCATTTAGAGTGCTCTGGAGCAATGGAAAAGGGCATCAGAATTACACTGGGTACCCAGATATTTTCATGGGAAGATGACATTTAAAACATTTTTTTAAAAAAGAGAAGTAAAAGCTAGGGAGGTGGCTGGTGAGAATCAGAAGAAAATGAGAAGAATGTGAACCAACACGTAGTAAGGAGAGGAATATGGAATATTTCTTTTCTAGGAACTGCAGATTTTGGTATAAAGTCCAAGATGTGTGTGTAGGATTTTCACAATATTAAATAATCATCCTATTTTAAAATGACTAGACTTTGAGAGTGTCAATTTTAGGAAGAATGGTTCTGTTTATCTCCTAAATTATCCTCTTTTATATGTCTTCCCACTCATGAGATTATTATTTAAATTATCAATAGAATCTAGCTGTTTTTTAGACATTTTCAGATGGGAAAAAAATTCACATTTTCATATTATTCAACAAATATTGGTTTAGAGCCTATAATATAATTTACATTGTTGTAGTAATGAAGATTAAAACAAGATAAGAGGAAAAATAAATAAATAGTTTTATATGTAAAGAAAAACAAAGCAGGTCAGTGGATAATGTGTGTGGTCATGGTTAGGAGTTGGGGGTATTTTCAAAGATGAGGGAAGATCTTTGTGGAAAGATGAACATGTTCCAGGAAAGTAGTGTCCTGAAGGAGAGATGGGGAAGGACAGACCCAGCAGCAGGTTCTTGTTGCCACTGAGAGCAGAACAGTCTAGGGCAGGAGGAGTAGGGAATGAAGTCAGAGACACTGCTAGGGGCCTGGTCATATAGGGTTTTGCAGGCCCCATTAAGGAATGTGGATTTCATTCTGAGTTGCACAGAAGTTAACAGAAGATTTTGACCAGGGCAAGAATGCCTGGTTTATATCTTAAGATGACTGTGACATCTGTCACTCTAACACAGCCATTGGTTTTATTTCAGTTTATGTGCTTGAAATTTTATTTTCAATCAAACATTGTACTTTAACTATTTTACAAATTTTAGTTTCTTGAGTGCTAAAATTGAGATATCATATATGTTGTATATGTTCTCATGTTTCCTTTTGGTTCAATCGTATGATATTTTTATAGCATACAATTCCATTGTATCAGTATTTGCTAAGTATATGCTAAATACAATAAATATTTTGATTATGTGACTGAATTAGCTAACACACTGGTACAAGGTAGTTAATGTCATCATCATAGCTTTGTGCCACTCAATGCTTTGCTCCATTTACTTTCTCTTCCAGGGTGTCTGTCCTGGATCTAAGTTCCAAGTCTTTCCAATATCCAGCCAGTTAATTAAATTTTTTCCAACCAATGTAGTTTCAACCATTTTCCATTCTTTATTTCTTTTATTTTTTAATTTTTAATTTTTAATTTTTCCTGTACCAGGGATCAAACTCAGGACCTTGAGCTTGCAAGGCAGGCGCAGCACCACTGAGCTAAATCCCGGGCCTAACTTTCCATTCTTTATAAGTTCCATATTAATGACATTTTCATAATAATGAGGTAAAATACTGAACAGCTTTTCTTACCATCTCTGAGATCTTAAGGTTTGTGTTTCGTTAAGTACAATTAGAATCCTATTTTCTTTCCTCATCTAACCCCATTTTCTTCTAGTGTTTCTATGTGAAGAACTACCAGTCACAAAAATGATTGATATTTTATTTGTGGCAGGAGGTAAATTAAGCATGAGACCAGGGCTAGGGCCCAAAGATATGTGACTGTTAATTCTGCTAGTGTTTGAGGAACACCTGCTCTAATACATAAAAGGTTTAATACAATGCCTGCCTAGCACATAAGACTCAATAAATACTAGTACTAGCATAAATTACTTCACTTTTTGATTCCATCATCTTTTTTTGTTTTATGAAAAAATAAATTTTCATGACCAAATAAGAGAATAACAATAACTATTACACTGTGTATCATTATCTTCAAAGTAGTTACTCAGTACAAAACATAAGCCAAAAAGATTCTTATAATAAAGAAATAGACAGATAACACAAACTTTCATTTCAACAAATGAAAATAAACTATTAGTATGAATGAAACAAATTAATATATATTGAAATAGTTTTATAACAATGGAATATGTAATCTGGGGAAGTATTTGAACTTCATACTTCCTATTTATTTCTTTTCTGTTTTTACCTTTATTTGTGTGTGTGTGTGTGTGTGTGTGTGTGTGTGTGTTTCTTATATAAGAGAAACCATGCAATATTTGAACTCTTATGTCTTATTTACTGTATTTCCCCGAAAATAAAACATATTAACTTTTGCTTCAAAAGATGTAATAGGGATTATTTTCAGGGGCTATCTTACTTTTTAATGTACAATCTATATTTATTCATGTACAACAGTCTACGTGTATTCAGAGACAGCCATGTCATCCTCTAAAACATCATCATAACTCTACAAACCGCAATTTCCAGCCTGAATTTCTTACAACTCTATTTTCTACAGAACTGTTGGTCACAATCTCTCATGTTCAGCAATAAGCGCACTTAAATGAACACTTCTTGTCCATACAGCCTGGTTGTAGTTCTCTGGCAATACAGCTGTCAGTGATTTTTACTTCCCATGTGATCAGGGTTTTGATCAAAAGTCTTTGCCTACACCTATGTCTTCAAGAGTTCCACCTATCCTCTCTTTCAGCAGATTTAGTGTTTCTGTTTTAATGTTTAGATCTTTGATCCATTTTGATTTTAGTTTAGTGCATGGTGACAGATGTGGGTCTAGATTTACTCTTTTTACCACAGTAGCTCTGTAGTAAAAGTTCAAGTCAGGGATTGTGATCCCCCTGCCTTGCCTTTGTTGCTCAGAATTTTTTTTCTATTCTACATCTCTTCTGGTTTTTGCTATTCTAGGTCTCTCATGAATTTTAGGAATGTTTTCTCTAGTTCTGTGAGGTACACTATTTGTATTTTGATTGGGATTGCATTAAATCTGTGTAACAATTTTGGGAGTATGGCCATTTTTACTATGTTGGTTCTTCCTACACATGAGCAAGGGATGTCTTTCCATTTTCTGACCTCTTCGATCTCCTTTTTCAGAGTACTGTAGTTTTCAATGTAAAGATCTTTTACTTCCCTTGTTAGATTGATTCTTACATATTTCATTTTTTTTTGATGCTGTTGTAAAAAGCAGGTTTCCCTAATTTCTCTTTCAGTAAATTTATTTGTGTACAAGAAGGCTGTTGATTTTTCATTGTTGACTTTGTATCTAGCTACACTACTGAATTTGGTTATTAAATGTAGTAGTTTTTTGGTGGAGTTTTCTATATAGACTATCATGTCGTCAGTAAATAACAATAGTTTAACATCTTCCTTTCCTATCTTTATTCTTTTTCTTTTTCTCATTTAATTCTCCAGCTAATGTTTCTAGAACTCTATAGAATAGGAATGGTGATAGTGTATATCCTTGTTTTGTACCTGATTTTAGAGTGAAACCTTTCAATTTTTTGACCATTTAGTATGAAGCTGGCTGTTGGCTTTTCATAGATGGCTTTTATCAGGTTGAGATAAAGACCATCTACTCCAATTTTCTGTAGGTTTTTAAAAATCATGAATGGGTGTTGGACTTTGTCAAATGCTTTTTCTGAGTCTATTGAGATAAACATGTAATTTTTGTCCTTGGTTTTGTTAATATGGTGTAATACATTTATTGATTTGCATGTGTTGAACCATCCCTATATCTCTGGGATGAACCTACTTGATCATGGTGTATAATCTTCTTGATAATTTGTGCCATTCTGTTTGCCAGTATCTTATTGAGGATTTTTGCATCTGTGTTCATTATGGAGCTTGGCCTGTCATTCTCTTTTTTGGTTGGATCCTTTCCTGATTTTAGTATCAGAGTAATTACTTGCTTCTAGGAATGACTCTGAGACTATTGCTTCCCTTTCAATTTCATTAAAGAATTTGGAAAGTACTGACATTGGATCTTCTCTAAATTTCTTGTAGAATTCAGCAGTGAATCCATCAGGACCTGGGCTTTTCTTTGTTGGTAGGTTTTTAATTACCTTTTCAATTTCATTGATTGATATTGGGTTATTTAGAATTTTTATATCCT